CGGCTTCTCCTCATAAACTTACTTTAGTTGAAAAACGAAGACTTAATTGAGGAAAGAGGTCATTCAAGAAGGGATTTCTTTGCCACATATCTGAATTTCGAACCCAAACCGTTATCTTGACTGCTCCTGTCTAGCCGTGGACAACCTGGCACCGTATCAGGCCTCGCGCACCCTTCGGATGGCGTTGCAGCTGGGTACGAAAAGAAAGTCACAGCTACTCGCCTATTTGTACCTCTGTGTGGCTTTTCATCTCACGATTTTTGGATTGTCTTCCCTTTTCTACACTTTACTCACATGCACCTTATGGTTAAGTGCTCACATATTTGTTGCCATTTTGACTAGGGTTGCCTCCTGAACTTGTATGTAAAGCAACAAACAACTTAAGTAGGCTGCAGTCATCTGCGGTTTTGTTGTTGTTTTTCGCTACGCACTTTCGTGTGACCAGTTTTTGCGTGACCTCATTTTTTCTAGAAATTCTCAAAAGTTTCATTTTCGACAAACGCGCGACACTTCAGCTATTAATGTTGAAACAGATCAATATCACTCAGGTAAGACGGGGTCCATTAACAAAACAATCTCAGTTCAGAATTCGACCGAAGGTTTAATACCAGGACATTGTCAATTTTCTTAGATGTATATGGCAGTGAGTTTGGGTTGAGCACCGCCCACTCAAAAGTATTAAGTACTCCCGATGAAGTGCAGTGTTCGTGCTTGTCAGTTCGCCATTACCCTGTGATTTATCCGTATGTTACCATTGGTGGGCAATATCTTCAGACTACGCTGTAGGATAAACGACGGGTTGACATAAGAAGGTATGCTTCATAGGAACCTGAAACGCGTTATGTTTCACTTGGGTTTTGCCAATCCGCCTATTCTCCTGAGAGACTGACGTATACATTATTTTTTCGCTCAAAATACAATATGGTACAAATTATTATGACGTTATTTTATTGTGTTTTTATAGTTTCCTGTGAATAGACATCCAAAAACAAATAATTTGGGAAACATGGATGGATTTCAGCCAATCCCATAAGATTGAAACTTTACCTGCTAATCCACTCATGGGGGTCAAGTACTGGCAGCCTACCAAACTCGTTCAATCGAACCCTGCTTTCTTCTGTTGATTATTCATACGTTGAACCCACAAGCCCAGAATTTTCGTGCCATTAGTTGAAAGTCTTCAGCAGTATCCACTTTCCAGGATTTGTATACAAACATAAGTATTTCGCGACGAAATTTTCGGAGTAGAGTGAGCCCATATCGCTAAAAGAAAATCTGATGTTGTGTATAGCACATAGTAAAAACAAACTCGTGTCAAAATGAAAATCAAATCTTGACTGAAAGCAAAGTCTTCCTCGAAATAATCAGGGCAAAGTAAGAACAAAATCCAGAGTGATTGCAGAATTTTTACCTATCAACTCAATAATTTGTGAAGATGATTTTCAAGTTTTACGTTCAAATTGTGATCAGAAAATGAATGTTTGAATGCGACAAGGCAATAAGGTGGTAGCCAGTAATTAGTAAAATGTTCAGTGTTTCTTACTTATCTGCCAATTATCCAATCCTGGTGTTATATCGATTATTCACAAGTTATCGGTTGTGTGATCCTTGGTTTTCCGTATGGTCACTCCTTCACTCACTGCAAGCGGAAATGTCTAACCATGCTTTTAAAGGAACTTATTCGGAATTACCCACAAATGGTCCCTAAAATGAATAAAACAGTTTACCGAGGCCTCTCATCTCTCTGGTTTGGGATTAAATTTCGGCAGGTTGAAATACACTGAATGCATTGATGTTCATTTCGACGCTGCTTCTTGTCTGTCAGAGCTCTCTTTAGCGCCCGAAATTTTAGGGCGGGTTGTGAGGTTTGACGACCAATTAGATATCTTCGCTACAACGTTCTTCGAAAAAAATTACAGTATAAGAACGCACAAATATTACTTCATAATATTACTTCCCACTCAAAAATTAACTGCTGAAATACAAGAATTAGTCAGTGTATACTAAGATTTTACACAACTGAAGGCCCAGAATGTTTGAAAATCGCTGTTTTTTTATCATGGAGCTACTGTTTTCCCAGATTTAAAAGTATAACTTCCGTAAGTGTTGCTTTCTCTCAGTTTTCCATCTTCAGAGCACAAACTCAAGTCAGAGTCAGGCCACGGTTGTGGCATGACAACAGTTTACTTCTTGGTCTGAAAATCATCTCTATTGGTTCCCACTGATAACTCGTGCAAGCAGGTAGTTGGAGTAGAATGTCTGAGGTTATCATAAAGCAAGTCTGTGCACGTTTTGGGCCTTCCATGACGGATGATACTTCTGGCTTGTAGCCAGCACCTATGCTGTGGCCACAGTACACCACATGGTTCCAAAATCACAGCGCGCTGCCAAATGCTCCGGATAATAGTTCCGAAGCAGTCCACCCAAACCAAACAGTGTAACATGCCCGTAGACTTCAACGAATGTGGAACCGAGAGCAGAAATCGAAGGAGTTAATACCGAACACCATCATTCTGGTTATGTTTGCTGCATACGCAAACGTTGAGAGGTGATGACCTCATTCGGAGCAGATCATGTACGATTCCATTGCAACGCGCCTAATCTCCCTTGGCTTTAGTTTCTATGCGAATATCTTCTAAATATATTCGTAGGAATTTTTTATATAACCAACTTCAAGTGAGTATCATAGTCCATTGAAAAGTGGAATTACATCCAGTTGTCAGGGTGGTCCGTGGAATACCAGCGCTAGGTGACTGTACTGACACCAATAAATTATCAAAATGAGGACTCAATTTTACATAGCTCACAGTGAATAAACCCCACATGACTGGCAGCATTCTTTCCGTCCCTTCAGATCATATTAGGAAAAATCATCAGGCATGGTACGTTTTGCCGTATCACCAAAAAATCACTATTCGTCAACGAGAAAATCCGCTCAAGAAACAATTTTTTGGCTAACTCACTTCGACCCGTGAACCAATCACAGGTCAGTGATAGCTCGCTAGTAAGTCACTGTATCACCGCGACCTTTACTGTACTACTGCATATGCGATATAGTACAACGGTGCAGTATGGGTTGCTGGATGAGCATCGATCGATGATCAGTGAGCTGTAACACCCTTCTCGTGTCTGGATGCCACGTCACTTGACGGAAGCACGAATGCTGAAATACTACCTGGCTCCCCAGTCCCTGACAGGAGCAGCTGAGTTGCACAGATTCGGTCGGAACAACGAACCTTCCCGTTAGCAAGTTTGTCCATTAACTAACGAGCTATTTCAAGCTCAGTAACCTGCACACCAAGCAGATATACGAGGCCTATTCTTTTATTTAGTTTTTGCGGAGCATACGCCAATTACCCTAGTTAATGTGTAGACTACTTAAAAGCAAAAAATCATGATACACCAGGTCGCATAGGAGTGAACCTCAGCATGTAGTGGATAGTTCTAATCATTCTCTCAACAAATTGCCAGCTAATGCCACCAGATGAAAAGGTACGACGTCTATCACTTGATCCTCTTCTTCGATTAGTTACTTTGGTCAATACTCCACCTGCTAGTTCACTTATATCATAATTATTGGCGACAATAAACAGGCGCTCATATCCTATAATCTGAATCATGAGATGCCCTGTTTTGTCAACCGAATCTGAAGATCTCGGAACAAGGTAATGATGCACCACCACAGGTAAAGAAAATCTTATTGAAGTTATATGGAACCAGAACAGGCGAACCTATTAACAGTTGCTGGAGTTGGGTATGTTATTTACCGCTATATAAATAGCTTCATAGCTAATAGAAGCATCAACGCGCAGTTTCCTTTACTGTTTGGACCAGTCAATACACCGCACGGAGAAATTGTCAAATGAGTCTAACCAGACGACAAAAACGAGCCAGTCTCAGAATAACCCTGAAGTTCAAGCGCGAACCGAACGTACTACTTTGAGGAACTCTGGTTCATGATGTAGAACAAAGATCGCGATTCCACCTTATTTCACTAGACGACCAGTGAGTAACGATTGAATTCAGAGCAACACCTAAGTTGTGAAGGTGAAATTTTACTCTCTCCGGCATCCTTTTGGTCAGCTCAAATACGCGGAAAAGACCAATAGATGAAAATGCCATTAGTGGGAACGGTGCGATCCTTTAGTTTGTCTTTGACTTCATTCTTACCACAGCTGCCGTTGGATGCAAGCAATGGCAACAGTGATGATGCTAGCTATCAAATGGTACACGGCAGTGACGAGGTAATCCAAGAATTGCTAACCTGTCAATCACCAAAAGGGGTAAAATGTCATAATATATGTTTTGGAATGTAACATTCTGCCGATCACTCAGTCTTCCGTTAGCTGTTTTATTTTCGTCAATGATGGCAGATGTTTTGTACAGTAATCCTCCAATCTTGACTCTTCTTATTTACATCTGTTATCTGAGCGTGATAATCCACGTTTCTCTCCATTTTCAACTCTGCTCTTTCATTGGCTAGAACCATCGCTTCCGTCTGGCTATTCACCTCATCAGTCACGTTGTCCTACTGGCCGACTTGGTCAATTCTCAAAGCAAAAGAAAGCTGTATGAATCAGTGTGAGACCAAGAGGAAGAAAAATGCCATCCCATATCAGGGATGAGGAGATGAGCAATTGAAAATGAGGGGGTAGAAAATGTTGAAGACACACATATGCTCACAGACGCTCGACATTCCTTCCGTTGGCTGAGAGATTGGGATAGTTTGTCGAAGGGGGATGAGGAAACTAGACAAACATTTCTGTAACCCACTTCAGGACGAGCTAACTCTCCTACCAGTGAAAGTTGAAGAGTGAATACCCTAGTCCATTGCTGTGTTCACAGTAGAGGTAGATGTCAGCTTAAGGGGTTGAACACAAGCAGACAAATTAGTGATCCACGATAGCAAGTAAAAACGTGTCATATTTCACTCGGCTTTGCTGAACTTCTTGAAGTATAAAAGGTTGAGTACTTATCACGATCTGTGAAGCCAGCCTCAGATGGATACAACTTCTTTGCACGCTATGGTTTTGCCCATCATTGTTCCCCCACCTTGGGTACTTTTGCATGCCTTCCGGGAAATAAAACGAAGTCAACTGGGCAGGAAGGAGGACGACTGTTCGGAAATGCACGGACCTTATCGTTCGGACTGTATTTTGTAAGTACCGTACGAATAGTTGGGTTCTTCTTGAGCAGTGTGGTTTTCTCCTCTAGTTAGGACGTCCACTGGTTCCGAACCAGGCCTTAATTCATCGATTTATTTTTCCAAGTGAATAATTAGAAGTGTTCCGATTTTTTTTAAAATAGGGTAGACTGTTTGATAGTTTTGGAGGGAGAACCAACTGATGACAACTTGGAGAAGTTCATATCAGAAGGAATCCTGGATCATGAAACTGCGACTTATAAACAATACGTTGCTCTCAGATGTGTGTAATATCAGAAATAAATGGGACTTCTGCATTGACAAACAATTGCATTTACATTCCCCAGGAAAACAGTGGATATTCTATTCTTGTGTCTATAATATTAGAAATTTTCATGGGTCTTGTATGCATAAATTTAACGCAAAACAGATGTACCCCGTCTGGCACCGATTAAGGAGTGTGACCCGTCCTGATATCAGTCCCATCATGAAAAGACCATTCTATTTTGGGGTGAGCGAATAAGCCAATAGCAGTTGTCCCCTATTTCGGTTGCATCAGTTCCGCGGAACTGATAGTTTGTATAGTCGCCTTAGTGCGGATTTCTTGGTATCAACTTCGTCCTCACTCCTATCCATAGCAGAAACAGTGCCTATTGAGAAGTAGATGTAGGATGAAGCCGTGCTTGAACGTTATCGAGTGTTTGACGCAGAAAGCAAAACAAAATGTATGTCAACCCCCGGAGGTCTGTTGACTGCTTCATATTACGTTTGAAGACTTTACAACCGGTCATTTTTCACTTCAGTGTCTAGCACACATACTAATCGCTTGAGAACCCAAAACAGTCAGATATATTAGAAGCCACGGGTTTGCTCGCGGTTCTTCTACGGATTGTCAACGGTTGTCGATTAAAGTAATGCAGCGGTTTGATGGGCCCAAAACTGTTTTTTGAAGTATTGTTTATTGGTCATACAAAAACATTTGAAATTCTGTCAACTGGTGAACCTGGAGAATGCTTAAATTTAAATCTAGATAGCTTTCAAAATCAGTTTGATTACACTCTCGATAACCTAACCGTTATCTTAGTTCGTTACTAAGCTTCTTGATATAGCTTTCCATTAACCTGTGGTGACATATTTGGTCTCCACCTGACTCTACTGGATCAGCTTACAACAAACTAAACGCCAAGGAACTCAAGATTGCAAAACTAACGTCTACCTTTTGAAGCCCTTCGATGTCATTTCAAGAGTTTTTGATAGAATCAATCAGTCGGCCTATATTCTTGAAAGTGCAACGGGGACACTTCGTGCGGTTTGCTGATTTGACCCCACTCGGATAATTTTGGTCGGTAATAGGGATGCAGTCGTCAGTCTGCAGTTTTTTAGTCTATTTTTCAGTATGATTTCCGTTCAGCAATTTGAAAAGAATGTTTTTTTAAGTCTGGAATTACTGCATCAAGTTGCCTTTAGTTAAGTCTAATAAACCCTACCGTGAGCTTTCGACGAATCTTTTCGAAGGAAGTTCAAAGTCCCCATGCAAATGAACGTCAAGTGGACTAACATTCAAATAAAATATTGCCAAAGCAGTTAATTCCGGTCTATAATATCACTGAGATTTCCATAAAAATTGCGATTGGAAATGTTAGTCACTTACTGTTTAGTAGAATGGGAGCGCCGTCAAAGAATATAAGATTTACAACTCCAGTTCAGAAAATTCAGTCAAGCTCAACTATTTGTCATCCTACGCCAATCTGTCCATTGTGTTGTGGCCTCAAAAATGCTTCATGCTGAGTAATTCAAACTGGACACTAGTGTAGGGCAGGAAACCATAACTACTGCTTTTGTCTGTTTGTTCCAGATATGAGCGGTTACCGCAAGAAAACACAGTTGCTGGCAGCGCCACTTTGCAAACAAATTTCGGCGAATTTACACTGAACTGCTTAACAGAATTGAGCAAGGCACAGTGTAGTACAGAAAAACAGTGGCATAGAGTAAGAGATGCCCACAGAACAATGGTGACTTTCCCGTCATCCGAAAGCCCTTTAAGACCTACATGCGCCACCCCGTGCAATAAGTTCTTTGAGACTCCCATGGCCGAGAAACATAACCTAGGTGATCAGCTCAACAAGTCCGATACAATCAACTCTGCCGATGGCATGCAAAGTGGTTCACATTTCAAGGGATTTGAGCGGGTGGAACGCGGATTTTGTTGTCCCTACTGCACAAAGCGCTTCACTTCGAATTCCGGCTTAAAACAACACATGCATATTCACTCCTCTTTCAAGCCTTTCACTTGTCAGGTGAGTTGGAATTTTTAACTTAGATCTCTGAATTATTAGTTATAAACAGCTAAGAGAAAGAACATTTCAAAATTTCTGTTTCATCTGTTAAATCTAGGCGGTCTCTCCGCGGAAGCAACTAGACGTTTTGGTAGTGACCCAAGGTCAACCTATTCCAAACTGATAATGTTCTGGCAGTGCTTGATTCACACGCAAGCAGCTAAGTTCAACGATTTTTGTAGGTGCTCAAACCACTCTGTAGCCGTGTAGGCGGCATGCGTAGACAAACATATATCTTGATTTCACTTCTAAAAAACATGCAATTGTTTCACAGACAGGTGTGAAATTTGTGAGCAAGGGTTTTGCTGATATTTCTGTTGATGCACGCGTTTATTTATTACCCATGCGTTCATTAATCATGAAATCTCCCCTAAACTTCATCAACTTTTAAAAACTATATTATACGTTTTTTTAAATACCGGTCCTTCGGAAACTTGTGGCGCGCACAAGTCTATTGGTGGGCGACACAGGTAAAACCTAAACTATTTGCATCACTTTGTCTAGTTGTACACAGTCGAGTATCTCGCATTTTTCAGATAATCGCGTCCCTCACATTTCGTGCTGGTCTCAGACTACATCTTACGGTCATGTGATAGCGGGCTTTTGATGAACTAAGATTTCGCGCATGTCATCATCGAATACAAAGGTGGATAACTGAGCAAATGTACAACAGATTGCACTTGGACAACTCAAGTAATCAGTCAGATTTGTCCTGAATCTTGGTGGTATTGAATCAGTTTCGAATTGTAGCCCAGTATTCTCGGTATGTTTGTTCAATCACCTATATGCTGGCCGTTATTGAATAACGTTTCTCGCCGTCAAGCACTAAGCCAAATGCCGAGGAAAATGCATATCCTGAGAACGATTTTTGCTCGCGCAACATGAAGATTGCTCTCACAAACTTACAAGACAGTCAACACTACAAGCACAGTAGGTGAAATGATCACTTAAGCATTGTACATGCAGTCTCTAGTAGCAAATTGAGTATCTCATCATAGCACGTTTTGCACTATTCTCTGGCTTTGGTTCCGCACACAGTCAAAGCTTTTCTCCGTACGGGTGAGAGGAAATGCCAACTGACCGGTTACAGACCATTGAACAGGGAAGCAAAACTCTAATCTGCATCTTAGTTACAAAAAACGACACAGATCTTCTCCCGAACGAGTCTTCCTAGAGATTCGTTGCCTCCACTCATTCGTCGGTCAAATCCAAGCAAATGTTACAAAGTGGCCCCACGAATTCCGCAACAGAATTCCCTTTTTCAGTCGACGCAAAGCGAAATTCTACGAACAACACATACTACTCGCGTGCCTCCTGATCAGTAGTATCACCGGTACACGGTATTGCGGAGTGACGGGGCTACCCACGTAACACATGCAGTAGATGTTTTGTCCAAAGAATTTCTTACGAAGAATTGAGCAGTCTTAACAGCTACGTTATGTAAGCCCGTGTCTCACTGCTATCCCTGAATTGTTTATACCAGTTTCTTGGAAAATAACTGGTTTTCGGTGGTTCCGAAGACCAGCGGTTGATCTGCCATCTGACCCTTGACGAAAATGAAACTTTGATTCTCATTACCACGTTAAGTTTCTTAAAAAGTGTCGAGAAAAACTTCACGTTCACCACACTCTCGTTTTATCGGCCGTTCTCCTGTCCTGACGCAACTACTCTGGTGAGTCCACACAGAAGAAGATGACCGCTGGACTCGGGTTTTCTCGTATTAGAACTCATCAGCAGCGCTTATCCTCTGCCGTGAACTTGAGGCATCTGATATGCGGGGCAAGTGTGTTATTATTATTCCAGCAGCGCATGATGACCCAATTCAATTATCTCGTCTGAACAGGTGATTTTGTTCGTGTTTGAGTGATGTGATTGGTTTTCTTGACCCTTCAAAGGTCAACCTATTATTAACTGTTCTGGTTTATCGAGCAACTGACGTGCCTGTCAGGACTCAGGAATCCCGTAGCTCCAGGGACGCTTCACACCTGCTGAAGAATTTCGAATTGTTGGTGGTGATGGCTGGGTTTGTAGAATTCCTCATCACTTTCATCTGAAGGAAGACAGCAAAATATAGGGGGATGTCAGGAACGCGTCCATGTACTTTTGGAGTTGAGTAACTTCTAGTCACGAGGAGTATTTCGCGGTGTGTGAACTTGTGGTGCCCCAAATGATCAGCTCTAGCACAGACTACGGTGCCTGATATGTCTAACTAATGAGCAATAGCCATATCGTGAGCTTCATTTACTTGTGAATTAAAAAGTTACAGGTCCAGTTTTCGGTTACAAGTTTCAACGTTACCTTCATTAATTCGTTTCAGAAAGGAAAGATTCGTTTTAAGCTTCCAGTGAGAATACTGATGACTATGCAGCGGCCAATGACAGAAGCAGTTGCCGAGTTTTGGTAAACCGTTTAGGCGTAATCGTTTTCAATAAAATCAGTCTTGATCTTCGTCATCGGTACTCAGACGCTATTCGCCGTCCTCTTACTTTATTTATGAATTGCCCATATTTCTACACAACTGTGTTTCACATACGCCAAACAAAAGTTAGATAACAACATCGGTCTACTATTCGATGGATTTTAGGTTTGCCACAAATCCTACACACAGTTCAGCAATCTTTGCCGCCACAAACGACTGCACAAGAGATGTCGTCAACGTATGCCCTGTTCGGAATGTGGACACGAGTTTGCTAACTCCTACTCACTACTCAAACACCAAATTCTCTGGGGATGTCGATGCAGAGCAGTACGTCGCAGAGGTGCCATGTACAGTCGTAAACGAGATGCTACACCACAGCTTGTTTCAAACCAAACTTCTGAAACCAACGCAGAGGAAGTGGTGCCCAATCTGAAGTCAGAAATGGTATCTCCAGTTTACCATGACATTTCACGTTTGCTGCATTCCAAGTTGCGCCACTATAACCGGGCAACGCACAAGAAAGAAGAATCTGCCACTGGTTACTCAGGAGAAGCTTCGCATTTACAACTGGATGAGGGAGAACTGTCGGCGATGACTTCACCGTCTACGGCCAGACTCCACTTTTCGTAAGTCAGATACATAAGACATCTTGTTTACTTTCGGACCGGCAGCGTGAATTCGTACTGCAGCACTAACTGCTGCTCAAAAAGTTGACAAACTCCAAACAAAGTTTGTGAAGGTCAGCTGGCACGTTAACGTTCACATGAATTCTGCCGTGCAGTGGAGATCAAAACAACGTAAATACTAGCTACTTTGTTGAGTAATAGATTTCTTTGGTGATTTGTTTAAATGGTAAGCAGCGCGCAGTGATCTAAGATTTCTTACACTGGCCTTCTGAAAGTGACTTGCAAGTAGCTAAACACAGTGCTGCTCAGCCATTTGTGGTCAAACTGTTGGGTGTTGGACTACTGGCTGGAAATTCACGGATTCTAATCTCTCCCAGTTTCGCGAAATTCGCACTGCTGATGATTCACACTAAAGAGGACGCGGCTTTTTAGCTTTTTTGGACTGGTTACATTGAAAGGAAATTTCAATTTAAAACCCACAATCTACCTAGTAACCCACACATTTGAATGCTCAACTGAGATTGAATACAAAAGAGGGAGAACAGATGGCCTGGTAGCATGCGCTTTCCGAGATTCCCTACGACTATGCAGTTACTCGTGTCTTCTAGTCTAAAAGTAGCACCTTCCAAACCATTTGAATGATTGTCAAATGTTTTATACCTAATGGTGCAAAGTATCTTCGGAATATATCGTAGGCTTCAGATGAATTTACCACAGGAGTAAAACTGCCAAATCCGATCAACTGGCCCCGATAAATTTTAACGACATGGTAGTTAATAGCATGTAGCAAGAATCAAGTACAAACCGCAGCACATCCTTGGGAATCTCGGTTGAATTCAAAATGGATAGAATATTTACACAAAAATCTCTCGGCCAAATGTTCCAGTAGATCATCTTCCGTGACAAAATCCGTCTGAAAAAATTAGTACCAGAGAGGAATGATCGATTCTTTTGAGAATTCCTCATTAGGCTCGTGGGTGATCTGTTAGTTACCAGACTTATAAGGCATGGGTGTTGCTTCTAAGTTCAGGATATGCTTTGTCGTAAGTTAAGTGGGTAGCCAGTCGGACTAGGTTAACCGTTGGGATTTAAATGCTGAGGTTTGCTGATTAGCGTCAGATATAAGGGATTTACGAACCCTAGTCCTTTTCACTGTTCATTTCTAACTTTACCCTTTAGTTACATCCTAACGTGATGGTGTACGTTTGATATCTGAGTGTCTCAGCGTTTGAGTGCTTTCTTGTTTGAGGAACTTGGGGTAGTTTGTTCACCGTGATTCAACCAATAGTTTTGCACATACGTACTTACTTACTACTTACTAAAAGTATAGAAATATTCTGAACATAAGTGCAGATGACCATTATTATAATGAGTTTAACTGAGGCTATAGCCGAAACCAACGAAAATAGTTTCATACCTTCTGTAGAGAAATCCTGAACAGTCATGATGTGGATCACCGCAAGTTCTGATCACACAAAAGCCTCAAAGTAAATGGTTTAGAAACATCAAGAATAATTATTTGAAGGACACTTCTATGTTGCACGTTGATGGTCTCACAGCACTTCACATCATTTCTAGTTTTACTAGGTTCACTAGTCTCTAGTTTTGATATTTTCGACGGAAAACGTTGAGACTATTCATCAAAATTATGGTAGCCAGTTCATTGGGAAGTCCAGCTGTAACACTCTATCCATGTCTAGCTGCCATGCCACCTGAAAGAAACACGAGGGCTGAGATACTGTCAGATTGCCCAAGCCTAGACAGGAGAGTTCTAGAGGCAGAGGTCGGATTCGAACCACGGACCTTCTGGTCAGTAAATTCGCGTTCTAACCACTGAGCCATCTCGCTAGTTCATTGGAGTGTAAACAGTATGATTACTGAATAGTATCAGGTCAACTTCAACTGATGGTGTAGGGCGTTCATGCGCCGAAGAATATATGCCCTTCGGTTTAAATAGTCCAGCGATTTCACTCGTTTCAAAAAGATCGCAAATTTTACTCTATTGTTTTTACAGTAAAAGATATTTTTGGGCTTTTACGCCATAGTCTCAACCATAAGGTATCTGGGATTGTATTATGTCGTCGAGGAGCACGAATTTCTTTGAGCATCACTCATTCTTTCTATAAACATCTCCACTTTGAGATTCAACTCGATGAATCCTCTTATCACTTAAACTTGGGCTCCATATTTTACCATGATAACCGGAATACAACGTTGTTCTAAAAAAAATAAGCTGCCAAAACGGCAATAGTTCGCTCAAGCATACGGATTAGTTCTTCTAATAAGTTCTTTTACAGCGATGTGGACCAGCTTTTAGAAATCATCAATCAGACCAGTAGCCCTGTTGGCACTGCTGCAGTGTGAACACTGAACTTGGCTTGTGACCGGCAAAGCATCACTCATTTTCTGATACTTTGATGTATTATGGTATATACTCACTAGTCTAACAATTACTGGGGGCCGTCAACTAACCTTGATTCTTGGTCAGACAGTGTCAGCTCAAAGCGCAAGCGGCTTAAATGGCCAACAAGGTTAAAACTACGAATTTCGAGCTCACATGTCGATTTAAGCAGAGTGGTCCCTGTGACCCATACGCTTTGTTTCTGATAGCACAACCTCGAACAAAGAAGGAACTACAGGTGTACATCGGTTGATCCAAGGAAGGCAATCCAATATCCAACATGACCTCTAGAGTTTCTCCGACGTTTACCGTTAATGTGCTCATCTGGACTACTCGAACGATAGTCTTGGTCCCACCTAACCTGTGACGATTCGCGTCGTGAATTGCATTAAGTCATTTAGAAGACTTCTTTTTTTTCTCAGAATTCTTTGCCATTTGAATTTCAGAAGAACCTAAATCTGATTAGATGTTTGTTGTGAACTAACACCAAGCGCTCAGACTTAGCAAATTTCTCCGCAGACTCAAATCGTTTTTAAAATCATCGAAAATGGATGTTCAGATTTCCCCCAGTAAATGCAAAGGCTTCTATGGGTGCAGCAAATTATTCGAAAGGGCTTATCATGTCGGTTGAAATATGGGTTGACGATTAACGAACCACACTCTATTGCAAGCAAATTTGGTTTTGCGACAGACTATTCTGAAAGCCTGCTTAATTTGTCGTTTATGATGTTTTTAAGCAACTGAGTGTGCTGCACCAGGCCGTTTCATGTTTCAATTGCTGCAATATTCGAGATATGGTAACACACTACGCATAAGAATGCTGAAAATTCTTCGACAGCCCATGACCGGTTTCGCCCTTCTTGGTGCTCATCAGGTAGGTGCAATCCCCGCGTTTCCGTCAACTTTATGTCCTACTTGAACGCAAACCGCACGAACTTAGCGAACTACACTCAGTCGCAAATAAATTTGGTTTTGCGGGAGACTCACCTGGGACCCAACTGAATGTCTCATCGAGTGACGAGATTTCCCAGCCTTTATAGTGCACATCATGTTTAGTTGGTTTGAAAGCTGCAAATAGATCCAGCTAACGTTCGTATTTTCTCAGAAGGTTTGCGGATTCTTGGGCGTCAGTCTCTACGTGATTTTGCTTAGCCCATTTAGCTGAGCCTTGATTTGTGCCAAACATTTGTTTGATGGAGTAATACTGCTTGTTATATTTACTTGTCATCCTATTGTGATGTTACGACACACTGCTAGTTGAGTCCGGGGTCAGAAGAAAATCCAGCCTATTAGATTGCAGGTTCAGTTACCACCGAGTTTGACCATACCAAATAATATTACTTCCGAGAAATTCTAGTGGAGACACTGTGGTTGTACAAGCATTTTGTGCAGTATAAATTTTCCGGCAGTTTTTGTTAGAACTCATTAGTGTGAAAGCAACTTATTTATTTTCTTTGTTACTGCGCACACTGGAAACTTTGTGAAAATGTCCCCTTACATTTAAGTTTTGAAGACTGTGTTTCAAGTTAGGAGGTTGCCGAGAAAAGAGTGCATTAGACAGACGTGGAATTTCACTATCACCGAATAGCTTGTCAGCATTGTAGCTATTAGATATCTGATTTTCAAACCTGAATATTTGCTCCTAGGTCGTTTAGTAGTCCAAACTTACACTTCAACTTAACACTATTGAGAGCTTGTTACTCATTTTCTGTTCAATAGGTTTCCCGAGATGTGGGGCTCATTTCGAGCATCTCAACTAGGAGAACTGAATGATGGATCTCATTTTGGCGTCGCGAACATAAACGATAGATACCCGATGAACTTGTCTTGTCGTCGTGAAAACGGTGACACGGCCTCCACTGATTCGGCCGCTAACATAAGCCTCAACACGCGCAATAAATCTAATGCGTCGATCCAAAAAGCTGCCCATCGGAAGTTTACAAACAATCATTTGTCTTCAAGTCCATCCCTGCTCACCGGGTTCATGCCACTGTTGAGTAACATGGAGGTTGAAACGACATACCCAGTCGAACGGGGATCTTCCTTTCTGCAGCGTTCCACACCACCTGAATCCACAACTTCTGTGTCCATGGGATACAAATACACAAGACTTCTTTCAGCGACCGTCTCTAAAACAGCGAGGAAGTGTATTTTACACAGGGAACGAGAAAACATTGGTAACGATATTATCGGTAGAAATGAAATGGTTCTAACTACGAGACAGATCACACCCTGCGATCTGTATAAACCACCGGATTTTTCAAGTAACCTGACAACTGTCCGCAGTGGATCAGAACACCCTGATCATGGTTTCGTCTGTCGTGTATGTCACAAAAGCTTTCCGAGGGCAGCAAATCTAAACCGACACCTGCGGACACACACAGGTGAACAACCTTACCATTGCCCACACTGTGAACGTTCATTCAGCATATCCTCAAACATGCAACGTCACGTGAGGAATATTCACAATCGAACAACCGAGAGTCTTCAGTTATGACCGCATTTTCTGGACAAAACATGTGCTGTATTCTCCTGAGAAGTTTTCAGCAGTTATCTCCGATTCTTTCGTCTTCCACCTATAAATTAAACCATTAAGTTTCCATTGTATCACCTCTTATTTTGAAATATGTACCAATGAATCGCCTACCTCGACTCTACAGTCAGGTTCACCTGACATCGCATGTGTAACCTCGAATGCTGTTGCAACGCCGCGCACATTTCCAAAAAAGTGAATAACATTCATGCCAAACGAGCTGGGGCTATTACTTCTGTTCTTTGTTTTCTTTCTGTACACTTATTTATGTGTCCTTGTTTTCTTCCTTTGAAGACTTCATCTTTGAGTCCCGTATAGTTGACATCAGTGTTTCTACAGGTAGTCAAATGTTTCTCGGAAACCGATTATTAATAATGTTTGATCATAATGTCCGTTGATTGTCGATGTCAAACTGGACGTTTTTAGCAATCTTGCTAGGTGTGATCCCTTAAGACAGCACTGTAAATCAGCATTTCATTGTTTGAATTTAGTCTGATATGTGCTGATTTTCGATTACACAGCTGGTGATTGATCATCTGTAGATGTTGAGTGATCTCTTGCATTCAATGTCTGTCAGCACGAAGTCTACCTTTGGGGTTCATTTCTTTGGTGGTAAGATGCGGAAATGCGGAAATTTTTATCGCGGAAGGGGGGCTAATTTGGGCTGAAAAGCCGATAAGTACTGTGCAGTTAGGGGATCATCGTCAGTGCACTTAGCAAGAAACTCCACAAGATCGCTCGTGACCTGATGTTTATGTGTTCAGTCTGTCAGCCTGGATGTCGTGGGCTCTATACTCCCTTGGTTTTCGTGAACTCCACACTGCTGCGGACTTTTACTAAGCTTGAATCAACCGCACAGGGCTTCTCAGATTTCAACGTAGGTCGTCTTCACCTATGGGACGAAATCCTCGTTGAAGAGACTGAACACAAACAAGAGTCAAGATTTCACTGAGAAGAATGTTTTGACTGTTGAGACCCTGAACAAACCTTGCAGATAGTTTATCCCCTCAGTGAATGGTTTAGCTGCACTAAAGTGTGAATTTTATATGCACGTGGGAAAAGAAGCACTCAAGTGACTCAATTGGAATCTGAGTGAACCTTTTACTTAGATACCAAGTTAGATGGAATCCCCCGAGATCCATTTTAAGATAGGATCTTATCACAAAAACTGTAATCCAGACTGAAATTTGAAAGGAGGTGGCTGTATCATTATGAAAAACGAGTTAATGAGGGAAAGTTAGCCATAAATTCGTCCCAGTATGACAGCTGTCCACAAGATAAGTGTTACACTTAACTCCGTTAATCCTTCTTCGATAGTAGTCCTTCAGTAGGCCTCCGAACAGACGTTACCAACTAGGACAACTTCCCTCCGGTCGTGTAGGATGTTTTCCAAAACTTGGAGGCGTCGCTCTTTGTCCCCACCGAAGACTAATCTACATGTCCCGTAGGCGTCACATCACCTGCAAACCAAAACAAAAAGTGTAAAATTCCCTCACTGGCTTTTTTTGAAGATGGATTATAAGGTTTCTAACCCGTGTCCTCAGCACTGTAGTACAGGCAGTACTTCTCTTGTCATGGTTCAGTTATTCTACTGAGTTCATATTAAAGAAGGGAAGCACTGGACTTGAGCTTCTCTCGAATTAGAACTTGACCGTAACAGGTCTTGAACCCCGAATGTCTGATATTCAAGGTTAGCGTATTACTGGCACTCAGCAAGCGCATTTTAGACGCAAATGAATTGTCACGTCTGAACAGTTGATTGCGTTCAAGTTTCAGTGATGTAATTGGCTTTAACGGCGCCCCGAACGATGACCTAGTGACTGTCGTGGTTGAATCAGTCGATTAACGCACCTTTCAGGACTTCCTAGTCAGGTAGAGCCTTGGAGGCTTGAAACCTACTGGACAGTTTTAAGTGGTCGTAGGTGGTTTCTAATAATTGGAACAAAATTGAAATTGCGTTTTTTTTCTGGGTACTACCATATGATTATCCCGTGTATAGCCTCTGTCAAGTATAGTTTCTTTCTCGGCAGAGATCACTTTTGGTTAGCTCCTTGATATTCGCCTTAGGGCCGATGTCTACCCGCCTATGTTCTCATTCATCTTGTTCACTCTCTTCATGCGGTTTCTGTAGAGGTACGTAAGTGGGATCAGGTTACCATCGGCAGAGGAAATTGTCTAACGTTTCGTTTAAACCAAAGTATCAGAGGTATTCTCAAAGAATGACCACTATTTCGGGCCGTCCTCCACTAACCAAGAAATTCCTAAAGTAATTCTCACAAAAGCGGTGTTTATTCATTTACATCTTTGTAATGTACTACTCATAAGGTTGCTGAAAATCCATCGACAGCCCACGACCGGTTTCGCCCTTCTTGGGGCTCATCAGGTAGGCGCAGTCCCCGGGTTCCCGTCAGCCTTATGTTCTACTTGTAACCAAATTGCACGAAATTAGCGAATATGCACTCATTTGCACACTCTCTCGAAAGAACCAAATTAGTTTGCAAATGAGTGTATATTCGGAGTTTATTCAGTCATTTCGTAAACCCAGCCCCCAGGACACGTCATTTGTGTTATTTTCAAAGTTTATTTCTTCATGTGAATGATATTTTTAAGGATACTCTCCTCAGGAAATTAGTTCATTGAACAACAGTAAACTACGGACCTCAAAGTTGATTTTCGTAATGAATCGTGGAAGCTACAAATGTCTCGTCTTTATCGACATACACCAACATACTGTCTTTACATACGCGATTTTACGAGGTTTTACTCACAACTAGCAAATTGAAAACCAGTAGTATGTTCAACTCAAAACTGTTAAGTATCCACAGTATACAGGGTGTCATGTTTCTTTTGCCTAACTCAATCATTTTTGTACAGAAAACTTCGAAAAAGACATTAAGGCTTTCTGAATAGACAGCGATCCGAGATCAGTGCTAGGGTTGAAGAAAACTTTCAAGCCAGTGATTTTTATACGCACAAACTTTGGTCGTTGGCTTGTTCGCTGAGCTGGGCAATTCGGTTGTGCCAACCACTAACCCACCGCTACGCACAACTACGCACTGATGATGTCACCTCGATTGGTGATGAAACGTTTGCAACCAAATTTCCCAGCTCAGCGAACAAGCCAACGACCATCTATGCTACCTGAGCTACCGACATTCTCCTCTACAGAAAACACACAAACTTTGTTTTCTAAGCTTAACCAGCATTGTCCCGTTGAATACTACCATGCAGGTGCCTTCCTTGTGTGAACAAATAATGAGTGGCCAACAGAAATAAATCTGTTGACCGGTGGTGTCTTGCGGCCTGTGATCACAAGAAGAGTGAAGTATTCTGTTTTGGATATGTACTTAAAAGTACTTTGAAATGGACCACTGTCTCCTGGTTACTATGCGGACAACTGGTAAGGTGGTGACAGAAAGTCCTGTAGTGGCAAAACCTAATGAGTTATTCGTAGGTATGCTACCGGAAAATTATGTCCTACAGTGATTCCTGGTTTCCATGTAGAATTAAGAATTTAGAATCTTTCAAACTTACACTTAAGTGATAATTTTTTCGGAACTGAACTGCTGGTATTCCCCCGATTTTTAGGCAAAATATTTGTTAATCCTATTGATTAACAACAATGCGTAGTACCCGACAATCTACTTGCAATGCATTTTTGATATCCGTGGAGAAAATTCTGATAACTAGTCATATGAAGCTCTGTTAATTTATGTGTGAACTTTGCTCGAAATTTGTATATTGCGCTGCATTAATTTCCTGCTTCCAGTCCTCTATTTTCCGCCACTGAAAAGCCGAAACTAACTAACTTGTAAATTTTTACCTCACCATATGATTTCCTCCTCTGTTGACAACGAAAGTAACTGGGCAGAAAGTATGTTTTGGGAAGCTGTAAAAATGCTTTGTCGTGTTGCACCAATCTAACTGACTCTACCTACGGATGAGTGAATTCATTTGGCGAATGAGTTTTTATGATTGATTTTGCCCCGTTTTTCCCCCGAATTGTCTAACCACCACGTGTGATCAGCCAGGGGAGAAGTGGTTATTCAACCATTAGGAGCTGACATCGAGAATGCAATAAAACGCCTCAAGTGGCTGAGTCGCTCTTGCTTCTCCGGTTTTAAATGGATATAGGATGACTTGGAAACTAAGCGAAGTTGGAAGCACAAAAGTGGTGGAGAATAAAACGTCTTGCTTGGTTTCTATGATATGTTGAAGAGGTCTACTGACGCCATATCAAATGCCGGAAAGGCGAAGACACTACCACAGATTAATTAACAGTTTGCTGCTCTCTCGTAACAATTAATTATTCATCAAAACTTCATAAGAATCCCGAGAAAACTAAAGTGACATACTAATTTTACCACGTCATAAAGTCTTCATCCTGATTCTGCTGAAATAAACGTTCTAGGGTTAGAATTTCAAGTCTGTAATCAAGTTTATCTGGCTTTTCTTGATTCCGATTAACTTTGGGAGTGAAAAATTATACGGCATAAACTTTGTCAGTTGGGCGGGAGGCAAAATTTATCAATAATTTCTCCTATTTTCATTCACTTGAAAATTGGTGTAGACAGTTGAAAAACACTCATTGATGTT